GGGTTAGTTTCAGTGAACTGATCTCTATCTTCATTATGGATATTTTCTGCTCTTTTGCATCCCTGTTCATCTTTTAGTGGATTGGGTGGTAGGTAATTATTTACTCCTATAAAAATTCTTTTTTTTTTTGAGACAGGGTCTTGCTCTATAATTCAGGATGGCCTTGAACTCACTAAGTAGCCCACGCTGGCCTGAAACTCATGGCAATCTTCTTGCTTCAGCCTCCAGAGTGCTGGGCTCACAGGCGTGCACCACCACGCCCAGCTCCTGTAAAAATGGTGTGGTGGCGCAGGAAGGTGATCCCAGCTCTTTGGAGGCTGAGGCAGGAGGGTCGCCTGAGGCAGGAGGGTCCTGAGAGTTTGAGGCCAGCCTGGGCTACATAGTTCAGGGCCAGCCTGAACTACAAAGGGAGACCCCGCTTCAAGAAAACATACAAACAAACACAGAAATTCTTGAGCGTTATCCTGAGTAGTGTTATTTTCGCACAGTTTGATCTTTGCAGGGCTTGATTTTTTTGTTTTGTTTTTTTGGCTTGTGTATTTATTCAATAATTATTGATTGTGTCTACTGTGTCCTAAATCTTACTTTTTTTTTTTAAGAGTAGGAAAAATTTATTAGGAGAAAGAAAGCTTCTGCCTAAGAGAGACAGAAGGGGAACCAGAAAGTGGGTTGCCCGCCCACCCACTTTTCAAAGATGTTTTATACAGCAAAGTCATGTGGTGAGGCATTTAGGGCTCGCTTTGATGGGTGGGACAGGAACAGCAATTTGTCTATGGCTGTCATCGGCCCCCTGTTGAGGCAAAACCCTCTGAGAGTTGTCCTGGGCCTCCCTACCTGGGAAGGGAGATTTCTTCTCTGGCTGCTGGAATAGGAAGTATCCTAGCCCGATCCTCCATCACCCTACTGCACTGGGACTCCTGAGGGACCCGGGAGCTGTCTGTGCTGCTGTCTCCTCTTTGGGTCCATGCCCTGCAAACTCTGCCTGTCCAAGTCTCCCCAGACTTCCCCTCTGCACAGGAGCCCGGAAACTCCTGGTGGGAGGTCAGATGACTGGTGCACATCTCTCAGGATGCACTGTCCCTTGTTGCCTGCCTCCCAGGTGCCTGAGGTGTTGGCTCATGTTTTTCTGGACTCTGTTGTTAGAAGAAGGAAGGTGAATCAGTCCCTGTTATTTCCTCTTGTCTGGAAGCTCTTGAGTTTGTACCCTAGTTCCATGGTGTGGAGCAGTGAATTCAATTAAAAGCCCATAATCAATTAAATAAGGGATTTTTCTTAGGTTTGTAAGTGGGTCCCTAAGACAGCACTGTTTCCTTCTTTTCACTGGCCTTTCTGGGCCTAACAATAGTATTCGTGTTCATTAAAGGATTAAGTTATTATTTCGGCATTTTTTTTTTATGTAGCACTTCCTTATGTAGTCCAGGCTCGCCTTAAACTCACTGTGTAGCTCAAGTTGGCGTTGGACTCCCATTGATCCTCCTGCCTCAGCTTCCCCAGTGCTAAGGTTACTGGCATGCGCCACCATACCCATCTTATTTAGGATTTTTGTCTCTGCACTGGTTCTTTTTAGTATTAGATCTACTTAGTTGCATCAATTCCCAATCATTTTCCAGATAATGACAATAAAATAGCTAATATTTAATGTCCTATGTACTTTTTGTGTCAGGAGCCAATAAGGACTCCGAATAGCCCAGCACTTGGGAGGCTGAGGCAGGAGGATTGCTGAAAGTTTAAGGCCAGCCTAGGCTGCATAGTGAGTTCAAGGCCAGTCTGAACTGCATAGGATGACCCTTTCTCAAAAACAAACAAACAAACAAATGAAAAAGAGAGACCCCTGAATGTAGGAAGGATGACAAGGAATAAAAGAAAGAGACAATATTCAATATGCCGGTGGTGGACCCCAGGAAGAATCTGCCTCTAGTGGACGGACTCAACAATCTCCACAGTGGACCTGCTTTTATTATTCAGCAGGAAGCACATGGGAGGGGGTAGTGTACTCTTCCAGGAACAGCGACAGCAGTAACATTAGGGTAGTAAGATAGGGAACAAGTTTAGCATCTCAAAGGGAGCAGGTTAAGGTCCTTCTCCACAGCTGGATGCCTGCTTTTTTATTGCCCTCAGCTCTTTGATGCTATCTTGCCTCAGGAGCACTGTGATATGGCTTTCCCACACAGCCAGGAAGTCTGTAGCCTTTTGTATACTTCTCTCTTCCTGAGGCAAGTTAACACTGACCTTGAGACTAGGGGCCTGTTTCCCCCACCAATCTACCCTTACCATGGCTGGTCCCCAACATTTGCCGTATCAGTCTTTAACCAACTCTAGGAAGTCACAGAATCATTCAGTCATAGAAGAATGTTGATGCGTAGCCAGGTGTGGTGTTGAACACCTGTAATTCCAGCCCTTGGGAGGCTGAGGCAGGAAGATCACTGTGAGTTTGAAGCACTACATAATGAGTTCAAGCCCAGCCTAAACTACATAGCGAGACCCTATTTCAAAAAAAAAAAAAAAGTTCATGTGCAGAGACTAAGTTAGCTTAACTGAGATCACACAGCTAGGAAGTCAGCTGGAGTTTGGGCTGGAAACTTGGTTCCAAAGATTTTGCAGCTCACCAGCACACAAAACTGCTTCCAGATAGGTTTGTTCTGTTCATCCAGGGAGAGGCTGGTGGACACAGGCTCCCTCTGCTTTCAGGCAGGCATTAGGAGACTCAGTGCTGACTGTCTAGCTTCTTGGTCTTGTGCTGCCTTTTAAATGATTGTTTTATTTGCATGTGTCTGGGTCACACAAGCCTGTGGCTTAGTTTCACAGGATGGGAAAGAATCTTGGGTGATAATAAATCTCCCATCTGCCTTTCTCCCAATGCCTTTCCTGCCCGAACTCTCTTAAATTTACCATATTTTTCAGAGGTATAAAACTTAGAAACAACCTTGTGCTTTTTTTTTCCTTTTTTTTTTTTGATAGGATCTTGCTATGTAGTTCAGGCTGGCCTTGAACTTATTACTGTATTTTCCTGAAAATCAGACCTAACCAGAAAATGAGCCCTACCATGGTTTTTCAGGATACTTCTGAGATAAGTAACCCTATCCCCAAAATAAACCTCAGTTAAGATCCATCAGCCAGACAGGTGCATTTATATATCTTTTGGAACAGATGTGTGAAATTATGAAATGATAATATAATTAAATATAAATATTATTGACATTAATACTGAAAATAAATGATAATTATAATAAGTATTAGTAAAATACCCAGGTGGGCGCCTTTGGAGGAGAGGTAAAGGCCTGTATATATACATACATATATATATATATACACACATACACACATATATATACACACATACATATATATACATACATATATACATACATATATATATACATACATATATATACATATATATATACACATACATATATATACATATATATATATTTTTATATATATATATATATATATTTTTTTTGTACCGGGGATCGAACAACTCGGGTCCTTGCGCTTGTGCAGCAAGCAGTGAAACCACTGAGCTAAATCCCCGGCGGTAAAGGCCTATATAAACAGATGAACAGAGACTTACTGGCAAATTACTGACCCGAGTACACACACAACACATGAATAACGTGTGCACTTGGTTGTGTCTAATATGAATCTTCATAATTTAATACTACAGGTGTTGTAATGGATGTATTTCATGCACCTGTGTGAAATAAACATTTTTGGAACTTTGGTGCCTACAATTTTTCGTTGCTTTTGTGTGGACTATCATTCCCCCCCCCTCCGCCCCGTCCTGGGGATCGAACTTAGGACCTTGTGCCTGCCTGCCTGGCAGGTGCGGCGCTACTGAGCTACATCCCCCACCCTTGGACCATCATTCTTAACTCTCACCATTTTTATTGCCACTCCTGTCTCATAAGTCTTCAATTAACACTTGATTTAATGGAAACTTTGTGAAGGCCGGCCTGCAAGAGGTCATGGCTCAGGTGCAGAATTCCAGGGATAAAATCACTGACAGCTGTGTTCCCATGCAGGGCCGGCTGCATGGGCCAGAAGTGCTCATTTAAGGAGAGCTCTGTCGCTGGACCAGGGAGACTGGGACCAATGGTTCTGGGGGAAATGGAGTCGCAAGCAATTCAGGCCGAGTAGACAAAGGGCTTGAAGAGTTGTGACCGTGTTCCTGAGGAAGATGACAGGACCGCACTAGAATAAATGTAGACTTTTGTACATGAATACATGAAAAAATATAAATGGTTTCACTTGAAAAAAATAAGACATCCCCTGAAAATAAGCCCTATTGTATCTTGGAGCAAAAATTACATAAGAGCCGGTCTTATTTTTGGGCAGTAGCGTTATTTACTCAGTTGGATCTGTGGAGCCCACCTGTGCCCGGTTCTAAGGAGCTGGGGGAGAGTTCTCTGTTAGTTGGTCCCTGTCCCCAAGCAGCTGGCAGTCTAGAGGGAGACACGAGAGATGGAGCGACGATATGGCAGGTGTTCTGCTATGCACTGGTCGGGGGAAACTGGACAATGGCTCCAGGGAGTGTCGCTGCTTTAGAGAAAGTGTTGCCAATAGAGCTGGGTGTGATGGCGCCCACCTGTAATCCCATCACTCAGGAAGCTGAGGCAGGAGGGTCACCGTGAGTTCAAACCCGGCGTGAGGTACCCAGTGAGTTCAAGGCAGCCAGGAATATATAGCAATACCCTGTCTCATAAAACAACAACAAAAAGGTGTTGCCAAGGGCTGTTGATCACTGCTGTTAAACTTGGTGACCGCCATCCTGGAAGCCACACCAGTAGGGAACAGGAAGTTGCCACAGCAAGGAGCTGGCTCCTTCGGGTTCTGCCAGCTGAGCCTATCTGGAGCTGGGTCTGCACCTCCCTGCGGACTCCCCGGGGCTGCGGGCAGCAATCGCGGCCTGCGATTGGAGAGCTTGTGTGGCCGGGGATGAGGAACTTGGTATTGTCGGCGCAGCGGATTGGCTGGGCCCTGCTGCAGTGGGAATGCAGACTGGATGCTGCACGCTGCGCTGGGTGATAAGTGAGGACAGCTGAATGACTGGGAGCTCCAAGTTGCTTCTGCCCCTGGAGACGTCTGCTTGGATATCGCGTTTTCCTTTAAAAAACAAGAAAGTCAAACCTTTGCTCACCGGCCACTTGCACAAGTGCGTTCTTATTGAAGAAGCCCGCTGCAGTCTTTCTTACCCGCAGCCAGAGGCTCTCAGAGCCAGCTACTTCTCAGGCCAGGCACGACAGCAGTGTGAGCGAATTTGAAACAGCAGGAAACAGCCCTTGCATGCAGAGCTCCCAGCCTGAGCGCTCCCCGGGCCGGTCGCCCAGGCAACTGTGCCATCGGAGACCCTTGAGATTGTGGTCACAGCCCTCCAAAGCCAGCGGTCACCATCAGCGACGGCGGGAGGACTCCGGGATGCTGCAGGTGCTGTGGCATTTTCTGTCTGGCTTCCTCCCCAGGGCTGGGTGCCAAGACAGCAGAGAGGGCTCCGATCACGGAGTGAGAGGCCCCCAGGGAGACCAGATGTCAAGTTTCCTGGGTAAACAGGACGGAAGGGCCGAGGTCCCAGAAAAGAGACCCACCATCTTGCTGGTGGTCGGACCGGCAGAGCAGTTTCCTAAGGTAACGGCACCCGGAGGGGCTGGTCTGGGATCGGTTTTTTTCCCCTGAGAAAAAAAGCTGGGGTGTGAGGAGAAAGGGGGGAGTTATTTAAAAAAATCCGTTTGGTAGTAGGGGTCAGGGATGTGGTAGGCAATGAACAGAAGCGCTGATTCAGCCTGAATCTCCCAAGGCCACTGTGAAAGCTTTCTTCCTCCCTGGGTGCCGCTGATAAAAAATGAAGGGTGACTTCAATAGGTTTGCCTTAGGGCTTGTCAATTTGCTGGTAGAAAGCCCTTTGAAAGTAAGGGACAGACTAAAGTGCAGTCTCGGAGAGGGCGGGTCCGGAGGGAAACAGGGCGCTGTGGAAATGAAACCTAATGGCTCGGGGGTTGGGGACAGTTTTTGTGGGCATCGTGAAGGTTACATTCCTCTTGCCCTCAGTGGGACTCCCTTTACCTTTGGGTCCTAAGGGAAGATGGAGTCCTACCTGGGGTCAGCTGAGTTCCAGGTCTGTTTGTCCCTTGTGACCCCGAGCATGGTTGTCAAATCTGGGCCTCCTAAGAGCCAAGGGGAGCCACAGTACTCTGGTTTGAAGAACTGAGGTGCAGAAAGGTTCAGCGCTTTTTGCTCCGGAGTAAGCAATTAAAGGCTGGTGAAGCAGAGATTGACTCCCAGGTCTTCTGGAACGTTTCCCTCTCCTGCCTTCCGTTCCCGTAAGAGCAGCTTGAACAGAACTCATTGAGCACTCAGGATAGAACGGTTCTCAAGCTTTGGTTATTTTGAATCTTTTCTCCTTCCTCAAGAGGGACAGAGATTCTGTCTACCCTGTTTTTGGCTCATTCAAAATGCCCCAGCTCTTACATTTAAGAAATAAATGAGCATCTCTTTGCTAGAGAGCGATTTTTCCTGTGACAACTTTAGAAGCAGTGTGAGAGTGTGAGAGTATTAACACTGATGAGAACCCTGAGTGTGACGGGGTGTTTGTGTGCATCAGGGTCTCTGTTGAATCTGAGATTTGCACACTCAGTGTGCTCTGAGTGTCACTTTGTTTCTTCTGCCTGCCCTAGACACCATCAGACATGGCAGTTGGGCTAGTTTTTCTGAGGAACTTTTATCTACAGCCCTGCTTGCCTTGTGGCCTGGATTAGCCGGCTGCCTTTTTAAAAGCACTTAAAAAAAAAAAAATAACTGCTCTGTTTCCCAGGCTCCCACAGGCACCCTTTGCCAGCTTCCCCCGGGGGTGGCCTTGGGTGGGACTTTCTGTTCTGAACAGCCTAGTTGCTGGCCTGCAGAACCGAGGGACCCACACCTCCTGGCTCAGTTCCCACAAGGAGCCTCGGGTGGCTGGTTGTGTGGGGGTGGGGCGCCGAGAGGGAGACCGAGCAGCTAGTTTGGTTTGAAGGAGGGAGAGCGCCCGGTGAGCAGTGTAGACCCCCTGGAAGGGGTAAAGGAAGCAGTGAATAGCCGCAGCGTTTGTGCATTGTGAGTGTGTGGGAGATGCTGTCCCTGAGGCTGGTCTGACCCCTCCTCAGGAAGAGGCCTCCAGAGTTCTTGGAAACCTGGGGGAGAAGCTCCCTGGCTTCTCAGGCTGCCCAGTGTGCAGCAGCCCTTCTCTGTTTTGCGCCCACTTCCCCCGTGTCGATCTGCCTCTCTGTGAGTCAGGTTCCCAGAGGCTTTTATTCTCGGAACCGCGCCAGTTTTCCCCTTTATCTTCGGCTTTCCGAAGTTAATCTGCAGCTGGGGAAGGGAGCCATTTAGCCTGGAGTGGGAGGTTCCCTCGTGGTACTGGAGCTTGCCGATCCTGAGATCTCAGTAGCTCGGAGAATTTCGCTCATTGTGTGTATAATTGCCAAGTGTAGGCAGGTCTCATTGGAAACTGGCTATACTGTGGGCTGTCATGGCAACCTGGTCATCAAATGACAGTGCAGCCACAGTAGCCAATGAGGTTAGGGAGCCTTGAGGGTGGGTGGGGCTGGCAAGGCTCCTTCACAGACTAATGTTTCTGGCTTGCATTGAGTCATGGGGGGGGGGGGAGATTTTCTCACCTAGTGCTACAGCTTCAGGGCGTTGGACCTACCTTGTTCTTACTCATTGTATTCCGACCCTAACGGGAAGTACCTGCTTGGGTGGTGGTTTTGTGGTAGGATAAGGAAAGCTGATCTGCCTGGGAAGATGCTCGTGGGAGAACTTGCTCCTTTACAGATGAGAGGAAACCTGATGCCACTAAGTTCTGAGGGACACGGTGCCCTGTCATTGTTTCTGAATGCTAGGCATAGGCAGTGAACATCAGAAGAGTGGAAACAAATAGACCTGGGTCGAGAACTAGAATAAAGAGAGTGGAGAAGAACATGCGCAGTCCGGCGCTGAGAGCCGTGCACCATGTCAGGACTGGAACAGGAGCCCGGCCGAGCTTGCTGTCCCCACCTTGTGTCACTGCAGACGCGGTCAGAAGCTGTGACCCAGAGATGGCTGCTGCTGGTTTTTAGCTAAGGCTAACCTTGCTCAAGTTACCCGTTTCCCACATCTTGCCTCCCTCCAGTGGGAGGTGTATCTGCTTCTCTGGGAACTGGACTCTGCAGTGTCCCGTGGCAGTGCTGGTTTTGGGTGCTTTCAATCGAATGTTGTAACAAGAGCCCGGCCTGGCTGTGAGCCTGAGTCCTGCCTCTGATGGCAACACAGGTCATCTCTCCAGGGCTTGGAGGTTAAGGGGGTGCTGACCCCCAGCCCGGGTGGGCCCCCCCGTTTGCTGGGGACTCTGGGCACCCCCAGAGGAAGCATCCCAGCTCTGTGTGAAGGTGGAGTTCTGAAATACCTGCAAAATGCAAGGGGATGGGTAGATTAAATAAGTAAGCAAACATCAGTGTAGTTTTACCCAGTGACGGCATTCTGTGGGTCTCAGGCACAGTGGCAAAAACAAAAACGCAAGTGCTGGCCTAGGACTGATGCTAGCATTGTAAGATAGTGTGTTGGCAGGCACATGCCGAACATTTCAGAGAGCTTTTCCAGGCTTCCTGAAACTGTTGGTGTGAGCATTGTTGCAATCAAGAACAGTTCCTGCCCAAGCGCAAGGACCTGATTTCGATCCTTGGTACCAAAAGAAAAAAAAGAACAGTTCACTTTTTCTTTGTTTAGGAAACAGTTGCTCCTATTTGATAATACTTAATAATTTCCCCTTATAATAGAGAGCATAGATTTCATTCCTTCATTCATATTTTTTTTTTTTTTTTTTAAGACAGTGTCTCACAGTGTACTCCAGGCTGGCCTTTAACTCTTGGTGATTCTCCTGCCTCAGCGGCCCAAGTGCTGGATTTCAAGGTGTGTGTCACTACACCTGGCTAGGTTTCACTTAGTATTTTTTTCACATCTCTTCTTCTTCTTTTTTTTTGGTACGGGGGATCGAACTTGGGTCCTTGTGCTTGGACAGCAGGCGGCGAAACCACTGAGCTAAATCCCCGGCCCCTTCACATCTCTTCTGAGATACAGTTTTGCCTAACAAAATTGTGTATAGTACTTTATTAGGAAATGAAGATCTCTAGTTGAGTAATTTATCCAGGCGAAATATTAGCTATTTTGTATTGGAATAACTGGAGTCTTCCCTAAATAGGACATTTCAACAGATCTGTGTCACTTAAAAAAACATTTTTTTTTTGGCTTTTTGAGATGGGATTTTGCTGTATAGTTCAAGCTGGCCTTGAACTCACTGTGTAGCCCAGGCTGACCTTGAGCTCATGGCCATCCTCCTGCCTCAGCCTCCCAAGTGCTGGGATTGCAGGTGTGTGTCACCACGCCTGGCTTTTTGTTTTTCTTAATGTGGACTTCCTTTAAAATAAACAATACTGCCTTGTATCCTTGTGGAAGGTGGCCCTGTGTCTGCTTCTTGGGGCCTCCAGAGGCCAGATGAGCCTGTTCATGGATTCAGAAACTACTAGTGAAGCCCCTTGCTGTGATCCAGGCAAGAGGTTAGTACCTGGAAAAGAGACCCAGAGGTCCAAACCAATAGCCTTCTGTTTTCAAGGACCCCAGCACTAGAGAGAAAATGTGTGTTAAAATAGCCCCAGAGCCAAGGGTGGTATCACAGGCCTGTTCTTGGAGCACTCAGGAGGCTGAGGCAGGAGGATTGCTGCAAGTTCAAGGCCCTCCTGGGCTACAGAGTGAGTTCAAGACCAGCCTGGACTACATAGCAAGACCCTATGGGGGGTGGGGTAAATAGCCCCAGAACGAAGTATTCTCTTTGGGCAGTCTGCCTGGATAATTGGAGCTTCCATGCAAGATCGGCCTTGGGCGGCTTTTACGTCCTCGCCAGGTCTCTGAGGGGGGCCAGCATCCTCTTGGCTGCTTATGACCTCTGTCTTCCAGGGTCTTGTATGAGCACCAGCATTTTATTCTGGAAACCTCTTCAGAGCTTCTTAAAAAGCTTTGCTGAGTTGACAGGTCCTTCTCATGTAGTTGCTCCCAAGTGGTAACTACCTTTTTTTTTGGTACCAGGGATTGAACTCGGGTCCTTGCACTTGCGAGGCAGGCGGTGAAACCACTGAGCTGAATCCCCGGCCCGGTAACTACCCTTTTTATCCTCTCCGGCAGCAGAAGATTCAGTCCCTCTTAGGAAGAGGTGCACAGGTGAAGGAGTGAGGGTGGGACGAGCCTGTTCTCTTCTCTGGGTGACTGACGAGAGCTCTTCCTCCACAGTCTGCTGGGAAGGAAAGGGGGACGCAGGCCGCACCGGGAGGACTGTCCTTGTCCTCGGCAACCAGGCCTTTCAGCCCTGAGATGTTCTCTGTTGCTGCCTAAAGGGTTGTTTCCGGGGTGGGCTGCCTGAAACTCCCAGTGGACATTATTGCTATTATTATGCAAGTGTGGCTATTGAGCACCTGCCAGGTGGCCAGGCTGAGTTTTTAATTTCACTTAATTTTACTTAATTTCAATTAAAAAGGCATCTGTATTGAGCTGTAGTGTTGCAGCCCAGGAAGCTATGACCATACTGAGTAGGTGCAGGTTCTGCACCCCATAGTGCCCCCCCCGCCAGCCCCATCATGCCCAGTCCTGGGTGACCGGGACTCCGAAGGAAGCCCACGAGCCATGGGGTGGTTCCTGTATGTTTTGAGAGTGGCCAGCAAGGCGTTAGGTGCCAGATGCGCGTGGGCTGTGCAGGGCTGGGGGCCCTGAGGCAGGTACCAGGCGGAAGGCCAGGCCAGCCAGGAACCCCTGCAGGATGAGTGGTCCATGGTGCAGTCCATGTTCTAGGACAGCGGGGGGGGGGGGCTCTCTCAGGGCACAGTGGTCCATTTTCAGCCGTCATAGATTCAGGTGCTCCACATCCCCTGATTTTTCTTCAATCCCAGCCTTTTTCATTTCCTTTTGAGACAGGCGCACACTGAGTTGCTACAGTCTTGGCGATCATCCTGCCTCAGCCTCCTGCATAGCTGGGGTTACAGGTGTGCAGCACCGTACAGCTCATCCTCTGATCTTTTGTGCTGGGAATGATTTACCAACAGCAGAAAACCATTGCATTATGTGACGCATTTGGGGACCTTGTATGAAACAGACTGTGGGCTGTTTGCCGGGGGGAGGGGCTGGCAGCCAGGGGGTAAGGTTAGTTTGGGCACAGAGTACCAGGAGGCAGGGCAGAACCTGCTGCGGCCGCTCCATTCCGAGAGCTCACTGCACGCGGCAGTGACGTCAGTCCTGCTCTTTGCTCACAGCTCTTGAGCAACCTGATGCCACGGGCTGCCGGGGGCCGCGCTTATTGGCTGCCGGCTCCCCTACAGTGGGTGGATTTTTTTTGAGTAAAAGGGCAGGGCTGAGGCCGGTATATCTTGCGGGTGGTTCCCGGGAGGCAGCGTTCCGTTCCCTGTCCTGACGCTGCCCGCACTGAGCTCCCGCGCGGCCGCGGCGCCGGCTCCGTTGGCGGCATGCTCAGCCTGTGCCTGTATGTGCCGCTCATCGGGGAGACCCAGACCGAGTTTCAGTACTTTGAGTCCAAGGGACTTCCCACTGAGCTCAAATCCATCTTCAAACTCAGCGTCTTTATCCCTTCGCAGGAGTTCTCTACCTACCTCCAGTGGAAGCAGGTCAGTGCGGAGCGGAGCGGTGAGCGGTGCCGGGTGTGCGGGGTGTTTGTTGAGTGACTGGCTGAGCGGCATTAGAGGCTGTGCAGGAGTGACTGGGCCCTGCACAGGAGAAGGAATGTCTGAAATGTGGAGTTTTTTCCCGGGCGGTCTGGCAGGGGAACGACAGGTTTTCACGTGACTTCTAGGGAAGGGTGGGGTTCTACGGAGTCACTGGGGGAGGGGTGATGCGCAAACTGGGCTCACGAGCTCTTGGAGAGCACTCTGAAGGTGGCTGCGATGGACATGGTCGGGGAGGTCCGCATCTTGGGGCGTCCAGCCCAGTAAGGTGCACTGTGCCCTGGTCACCGCAGCCTGGGGACCTCCGCAAGGGGCTTCCACTCCTGTAGGAATCTGCAGTGACGGCCTGTTGTTGTGTGATTTGCATCCGTCTGGATGGAGAGCATAAGTGTTGGCAGGAAGTTAAGTAACCCCAGATAGCAGATAAAATGTGTGCCCACGTCTGCCCCACATTCCAGCCGCACCCCACATGACCGATCAAGTGAGGTCACAGGGCCTCCGCCAGACCTCAGCACCCTGGGTGGTCCAGGGGGTGGTCTGGGAGGGAAACTGTGGACTTCCAAGCCCACCTGCCCAAAGACTGAAACCCGCTTTGGTTTGTGTTAGTCAGTGGGTTTCCGGGTGGGACAGAGAGAGACTACAGTCATTCTCCTTAGGAGACTCGTGGTTCTCCATCCAGGGTGTTGCTAAGTTGGGGTGACTCACCAGTGTCCCCCATTTCCTTGAGATTACTCTGTAGGGTGGCAGAGGATCTGTGGGGAGGGGCTCAGGCGTCTAACAGGCCTGGCCGGACTCCCTGCCCACCACTCGTGGCTGTGGGATCTCCCGTGGACACTCGGCCTCTCTGAGGCCTGTCTCCTGCTCTCACAGGGGCAATGTTAGGCCCTAGAGCTGCATGAGAGAATCCTGAAAGGCATTCAGCTGGGACTCTGGTGCCCAGCAAGTGCTCGGGAAAGGGTTGCTTCCCGTGAGGAGAGGACTGAGCTCCAGAGGATGGAGCAGAGCTTTGGAACCACAGAATGTAGGGTTGTTTGGTTTTTTTGAGACAGGATCTTGCTATGTAGTTCAGGCTGGCCTTGGCCTTGAACTCACTATGTATCCTAGGCTGATCTCAAACTTGCAGGCTTTCCTCCTGCTCCAGCCTCCCAAGCACTGGGATTCTGGTGGAGGAAGGAACAGTCCCTCAAAGCCTTCTTGGGTCACTAAACCAGGATGAGTTGAGCTGCCCCGGTGTGCAGTGCCTGGTTGGGAAGGCTGGGGTTGGTTTTATCACCAGGCACCCTTGGGCCTCTCGACTGGCTGTGGCATCAAGCACAGGCCCAAGAATAGTTTCCTTGGCTCTTGCACCCCCTGGAGCCATCAGTGTTCCTGGCAGCGTTTCTGCCAAGTGGGCATTGCCCCGTACCTTCACCCTGGCCACCGACTTGTTCTGGGGCCAGTGCCACTATGGGGGACAGAAAGAGCACCCAGCAGGGCTCCTGAGGGAACCTGATTCCAAGGCCGTCCCACCTTCCCGCCAGGAGCATGGGGACAGGCTGCGGGGGAGCCAAGCAGCTGACCGGGCCATGTGACAAGCTGGTCTTGGGATCTCTTGGAAGGAACAAGTGCTGGGCAGCCCCGCTGGCCTCTGTCTCAAGGCTCCTCCTGGCTCCTCTCACCTCATTGCTGAGAACTGGGAGGGACCTGGGCTGGAGCTCTGGGCTGGGCCTTGACCTAAGTGGTGGCTCTGGCATGTGGGTGACTTGCCCTGGCAGCTGTGGGAATAGGACAGAGGCATCTCGGGTCATCGGGTGACCTTTGTTCACAGATGAATGTAGTGGCTTCCTGGGGAAGGGGCCCACCGGGGACAGGGCCAGGCTGGAGCGTGAGCCAAAACACAAAACCTCACTTCTGCTTTCTAGAAAATCGTGCAGGCTGGTGACAAGGACCTCGATGGGCAGTTGGACTTCGAAGAGTTTGTGCACTACCTCCAAGACCACGAGAAGAAGCTGAGGCTGGTGTTCAAGAGTTTGGACAAGAAGAATGATGGTGAGTTTGACCTCAGAGCCCCGGCCAGCCCACCTCGGGCTTCTGCACATGCCCGGCCTGGCTCACGGCAAGCCCTTTGCCGTTGCAGGACGAATCGATGCCCAGGAGATCATGCAGTCCCTTCGGGACCTGGGAGTCAAGATCTCGGAACAGCAGGCGGAAAAGATCCTCAAGAGGTTCGCGCCTGACAGGCCCAGGCTGCATGTGTAAAGGAGAAGCTCTGGGACTAACCCTTGGTGCTGCTCGCTGTGTGGACCCCTCTCTGAACTGGGCCTTTGCACGGTTGCAAAGGACAATAAATAAGGAGCCCCACCCTGAGGCCAGCTCTCCCCCGCTCTGCAGGCCAGCACCCCTTGGAAGAGTCACAGATCTCCTGGAATTAGGGAATTAGGCCCATTCCTTGGTGACCCAGGAAGGGAAAGGATTAGCTGGGGGTAAAGCCCAGCGTGGTGACACATGCCTGTAATCCCAGCACTTGGGAGGCTGAGGCAGGAGGATCACCATGAGTTGGAGGCCAGTCCGGGCTACTTAGTGAGTTCAAGGTCAGCCTGGACTACATAATGAGACCCTGTCTCAAAAAAACCAACAAAACAAGAAAAAGACTAATTGGGAGGATTTCAAGTCATTGCAGTCTGTCCAGAACACTTTCTGTGCATGGTTGAGAAGGGGCTTGCACCACGTGTGGCCCTCTGTCGGGGCCGCCGCCTCCCCACTCCCAGCGTCCAGACTGCCCCCTCACTGCAGCCCATGAGAAGCTCATGGGGCAAGGCTGCCAGGGAACCCTCCCGAAAAGCCCCAGGCACTGCCGTCCTTCCTGGCTGAGCCTTTCCAAACTCCCGAGGCCTGGGTGCCTGTGGGTCACAGGGAAGTGGCCCTGGACCTGCTCCTTGGGCCATCGCTGCAGGGCCTGTCCTCGCACTGTGCTACACCTGCTGTCCGTGTGTGTTGTGTGCTTGCTTCACTAACCTCTGCCAGGCACTTATCTGTGTTTCTCCTCTCTCCTCCGCATCCTCCTTTGTTTGTCTGTCAGAATACGGACGGGCCATTTCTGGGGCCCTGTCACCTAGTAAGTATGCGCCCCCCCCTCAACTGCCTCCCTTCCTGACTTCTCTGCCTGATAAGAATGGGGTTCTAAGCTGGGCATGGTGGTGCACACTTGTAAGCCCAGCACTCAGGCTGAGGCAGGAGGATTACCACAAGTGAGGCCAGCCTGGGCTACACAGTGAGTTCAAGGCCAGCCTGGAATGCCGTATCTCAAAAGTCCTAAAAAACTAAAAGCAAAAAAGCACCCCAAAAGTGGGGTTCTGGGGGGCCAGTGTATATATCCCTGTCTTGTGCAAGGTGGGGTAGCTTTTCTCCGGGGACCACAGGTGCCTTCTGAGGCTCCCTCTGTGGCCGAGGCACCTGTTCTCAGCTCAACCAGAGGGGCACCATGCAGCTGGGCTGCCATCACGCGTGGGTGACCAAGCCCCTCTCTTGCAGTATGGATAAGAACGGCACGATGACCATCGACTGGAACGAGTGGCGGGACTACCACCTCCTGCACCCCGTGGAGAACATCCCCGAGATCATCCTGTACTGGAAGCATTCCACGGTGAGGCCACCTCCCGGCCTGGGCACCTTTATGGCATCCTCTGCCCCACATCTGTCACCTCGTCCCTGTCCCTCTGCCAGCCCTGGAGAGCCCCGTTTGCCACACCCTCGCCAGCCTGGGCACAGGGTCCCTTTGGCGGGTGCCCTCCCTTCCCCACGTGTGACCTGTTCCCTTCTGAACATCCCTTCCCCTGCTGCACCTGACCTCCCAGACCAGTGATCCTCCCCCCTGGGGATGGGGAAGAAATGATGCTGTGGAAGACACACATAGAAAGCTATTGGATGCCCCCACGCTTGGCTGTTTTTTGGTGTCATTTCTCCCTATGTAGCAAATAGCAGCCGGGTGTGGTGGCGCACGCCTGTAATTCCAGCACTCAGGAGGCTGAAGCAGCGGGGAGGATCGCTGTGAGTTCGAGGCGAGCCCAGGCTATGCAGAGTTCAAGGCCAGCCCAAACTGGATACCGAGACCTTTGTCTCAAAACACCAGAAACGTTGTGGCCCTCGTTCCACGCTTGACCTCCCCTCTGAGACCCCTTCACGCTCGCTGTGTCGCCTCCAGCCCTGGCTGAGTCGCCCTGCTCTGCAGCCTCCCCCTCCTGGACTCGAGGTGGCTGCCAGCTCCTGGGCTCAGAGAAGCTGGTCCTGGTTCTCTGGCCCACAGCCCAGGTCAGGGCAGCACAGGCTAGGACCGGCCTGGATGCCGCCCAGGGAGAGGGCAGCTGCGGGCTGTGTCCCCTCCCCGCCCTTTGCTGAAGCCTTGCATAGTGTTCTGCCAGTGTGGTCCGGTTACACATCGGGTTTCAGAGAGCTTTGGTCCCGGGCTTGATCTTGTCGGCCTGGCCAGCCTGGCAGTCCTCACTGACATGCCGCATAAGCTGGTTTAAGAGCTTTGCCCTGTGTGTGGTTCCTACCCAGTGTCCCTCGCGTGCCCACTTCAAGAAGGTGGAGAGTGACATCTGTCACCAGCTTGGCACCAAGGGGCCTAAGTCAGCCTGTGATGTCTCTGCTGCTCTTGCTCACAGATCTTTGATGTGGGTGAGAACCTGACGGTCCCGGATGAGTTCACAGTGGAGGAGAGGCAGACGGGCATGTGGTGGCGACACCTGGTGGCAGGAGGTGGCGCAGGGGCCGTGTCCAGGACCTGTACGGCCCCCCTGGACAGACTCAAGGTGCTCATGCAGGTGAGCAGCAGGTGGCCCTGGGCTACCTGGGTTTCGCCCTGTGGTCACTGGTGGGTTGACTTTCCCTCCCTCAGCTGCAGCCCTGCTTTGGCCCCCATTTTTCTAACTCTGTGAATTAGTCATTGCCCAATCAGGGCACCAGCTGATCCAGGCTTCAGTGACTTTGTACATGGCCAGTCTAATTTTAGCTGAGGTGGGTAAGCCACGCATCACCTTACAGCGGCTTATGGTGCACCAGTGAGGGGAGGAAGTCTGGACTGTGACAGACGCTGATTTCCGTAGCGCGTCACAGTGGGACAGAGCCTCACCTGTCCGGATGCCCCGGGAAACAGCACCCTCGGCCCTTCCAGGCCACAGCGCCACGTAGGAAGGACAGAGATAAGCCTGTGTGATGTAAGGTTGGCCTGTGAGATGACCGCCCGCGGACGCTCTGTTGGACTTTGATGTCTGTCCGAACAGTGACACGTCACCCTCTGTACCCCTGGCTTGCGTCTAGCACTTTTTGTGACTGCTCAGAAAAGGCGTCATTGCGCCCCGGATTACGGTGCATTCCTGTAATCCTAGCACTCAGGAGGCTGAGGCAGGAAGATGGAAAGTTGGAGCCCAGCCTGGGCTGCGTAGTGAGACCCTGTCTCAAAAAAACCTGGAGAGAGAGAGAGGGAGAGGGAGAGAGAGAGGGAGAGAGAGGAGAAAGAGAGAAAGAAAGAAAGAGAAAAAAAATCATCCTCTCCCCTCCCAGTTCTATGACCTTGGGCACAACCCCACCTGCCAAGACCTGAGCATAAAGGGCTTGAACATTTTGTTTTTCACACAATCCCTGGAATGTTGGAGAAATTAAAAGCAGACCTGGAGTGAACTGATTGACCCTGGCATGATGGTTGTTGAAGCTAGGATGGGTTTCTGGAGGCCCATGGTTGATTCTATTTTTGTATGTTTGAACATTTTCCTGATGAGAAGCTCAGGTTTTTGGTTTTGCTTTGTTTTTGTGTTTTTGTGTTTTGCAGTACTGGGGATCGAAGCCAGGGCTTGCACAGAGCTACATCTCCAGTCCTTTTGTGTTATTTATTTATTTATTTATTTATCTATCTATTTATTTATTTATTTTTGGTCCCGGGGATGGAACTCGGGTCCTTGCGCTTGCGTGGCAGTGGCTGAACCACTGAGCTGAATCCCCGGTCCTGCATTTTTTATTTTGAGACAGGTTCTTGCCAAGTTGTCCAGGCTGAGGTTGCACATGTGAGCCTCCCGACTCAGACTCCCAGAGTATTGGAATTATAGGCCTGCACCACTACACCTGGCTTTTTAAAAAAAAACTAGTTCTTGTGGGTGCATTTAGTGCACTGGGGCACACAGTAGGTGCGCAGTAAAACCTAATTGAACCTAATGGGAATTCGCCTCTCTTGGCTCTCTTGGCAGCTGAGGGCCCTGCGGGGCTCTGCTGACCATGCTCCCCTCCCTCAGGTCCATGCCTCCCGCAGCAACAACATGTGCATTGTGGGCGGGTTCACCCAGATGATCCGAGAGGGAGGAGCCAAGTCCCTGTGGCGGGGCAATGGCATCAATGTCCTCAAAATCGCCCCGGAGTCGGCCATCAAATTCATGGCATACGAGCAGGTGAGGGCCCAGTTTCCGGAAGTCGCTGGTCACTGGCTGATGAAGAGCTTCCCCTGGATGGAGGTCCCTGAAGCCAGAGCTGGTCATTGTGCCCAAGGGACAGCAGGGTGGGGGACCTGAGTCTGACCCAGCTCGGCCGCAGCATAAAATGGACCAGGGTTGCTGGGTCTCAGCCAGCACCGGTGGGGCCCTGTGGGGACTGGCGAGGCTGGGACAGCGCTGTGGTTTCCGGGTACATCTGTTGGTTGTCTGTCCCTGTCTAGATCAAGCGGCTGGTCGGCAGCGACCAGGAGACCCTGAGGATCTACGAGAGGCTTGTGGCAGGCTCCTTGGCTGGGGCCATCGCCCAGAGCAGCATCTACCCCATGGAGGTGAGGGGCTGCCCGGGCCAGGGGCCAGGGGGGCGTAAGAGGGGCTCTCGGAGGGGCGGGCCGGGCTCACGGTCCTGCCACCCCCTGCAGGTTCTGAAGACGCGGATGGCCCTCCGGAAGACGGGCCAGTACTCGGGCATGCTGGACTGCGCCCGGAGGATCCTGGCCAGGGAGGGAGTGGCCGCCTTCTATAAAGGCTACATCCCCAATATGCTAGGGATCATCCCCTATGCTGGCATCGACCTGGCCGTCTATGAGGTGAGGCCCCGGGAACAAGGAGGGTTGACTGAGCCCCCGCCTCCTCACCCCAGCCCCTTGGTCACCATCGTCTCCCTCCCTGATGGGCCACTGGGAACAGATAGGACAGGGAACAGCACTTGCCTGTCTGTGCACGGGCTTATTGTCACCCCTGCCCCTGGCAGCCCAGATTCATGGGGGAGCCGCGGGGGTGCTCCCTCAGCCTCAGCCCCGCCCTCGCTGTCCTAGCCTGGGGTCCCTGGTGACAGCAGAAACCAGGCCAGTAGGCCTGGAGCTGGGCCTTGCTGAGCTGTATCCTGGTCAGTGTCCTTGTGGCGCCTGCGTGACAGGAAAATGCCTCTGATGCAGATCCAATGACCGTGGCCCCTCCCCCCCACATCACATCCGGGGCTCACCCTCCTCCCTCTCCCCCAGACACTCAAGAACGCCTGGCTGCAGCGTTACGCAGTGAACAGCGCCGACCCAGGTGTGTTTGTGCTCCTGGCCTGCGGCACCATCTCCAGCACCTGCGGCCAGCTGGCCAGCTACCCACTAGCCCTGGTCAGGACCCGGATGCAGGCGCAAGGTGAGGCGGTCCCAGGCCAGTCCCCATCGCCGGGCAGCTGGGGTGGGGGTGTGGCAGACAGTGCCTGACCAGTGCCCTTCCACCTGCAGCCTCCATTGAGGGCGCCCCGGAAGTGACCATGAGCGGTCTCTTCAAACAGATCCTACGGACAGAGGGCGCTTTTGGGCTGTACCGGGGGCTTGCCCCCAACTTCATGAAGGTGATCCCTGCTGTGAGCATCAGCTACGTGGTGTACGAGAACCTGAAGATCACCCTGGGGGTGCAGTCGCGGTGACGGGAGGGCGGGCGGCGGACTGGCGATCCCGGCCGGCCGGGGTGTGGAGCCATCTCATTCTGTGAATGTGCCAACACTAAGATGACCAGAGCCAAGCGATGAAACCGGACGCACCGTGGGGGAGGGTGGGGGCGCCTGGTGGCCCTGGGACTTGTCCTGCTGGCCCGGCAGACCCAGCGCCCTTTCCAGGGAAGACCCGTGGGGATTGGCTCAGGGTCCAGGGTCAGCAGGTCCCGGGCTCACGGGCCTAGAGACAGGATGTTCCCTGCAGTGCCTGGCAAATAGCGAGCTTGGAGGAGGGCTTAGTTCTTCCACCTTGGCCCCCTCCAGCTGGCTGGGCCTCCCTGTGCCCACTGTGCACCCCATCCTCCAATTTGCTGTAGCAGAAGGAGGGCACTGGCTGCTCATGCCCCTCCTTGTGTCCCCAGTGGACAGTGACAGGCGATGCCACCTCCCGCTGCAGCACACACTGAGGCAGGTGCGGGAAGGAGGGGGCCTTGCTCACACCTCGGGCTCGTGTTGGAGCCCATGCTGGCTGCAGAGCCCACTAGCGGGGCACTGGCTGGGCTTGTGCCCTTGGCGCTGGCTGCCTGGCATTGTGGCGCATGGCTTTGGGGGAGGCTGGTGCTGGGCCTGGAGCCCAGAGGGCCTCTGCTGCCGGCATGGCCCGGGACTATCGGGACCGGCACCAGCGCAGAACCAAACTCACCGTTTCCACTCCGCGGCGTGACGGCAGCACAGGGTCCAGTGTTCGGGCAAACGCAGAGTTTGTGTCACCACCGGTGTGGCCTGGTGAGGAGTGAAAGGTATTGAAGGCCTTAATCACGTGTCGCTGGGAAAAGGGTTCTTTCCCAGGACGAGCTGGACGGCTGTGCCTGCCCTGTGCTTCTGGCGAGGAGGCGTGGAGGGGTGACAGGCCGACTCTGTCGCCCAAGGTTGGGCCCAGTCCCATGGGCCAAGTGGGACCAGCCTCACATTCCACTGATGCAGCGTATCACACTGCTTGGAGCCTATTTATTTTGTATTTATTTGAACAGAGTTATGTCCTATTTTTATAGATTTGTTTAATTAATAGCCTGTCACTTTCGAGTTCCTTTTTTATTCATATTTATGTTTATGGTTGATCGTACCTTTCCATTGCCACCCGGTGGGGTGGGGGTGGGGAGAGCAGAGGGAGGAGGGGACAAGGTGTGACCCTCCCCACCCACACTGTGTGTCTGTCCAAAGAAATTCCTCTTGGGATGGGACGGAGAAGAAAAAAAGGGGGTCCTGACAGAGGGGAAGGAGTCCTGGGGTGCGTCTGGCCCCCAGGAAGTTGAGATCTCAGGGCTTGATGGGGAAGACGGAGCCCTGGAAGGGGGATTTCTTTGTTTCACCCTTTTTGAATGACAAGGCAGCGAGTTGCCTCTCACTGTGAATTTGGGGTGAGTCCCCTGCCTCCATCTGTGAAGTGGGCTCCCTCCTGGCTTGCAGCTGCCCTCGCTTGATAATGCTGGTCACCTGGCCACTTGACAGTGGCACCTCCATGACCATAGGATGACCTGATGAGGAAACTCTTAATAGGATGCAAAGATCAATGCAAAAAAATCATTATATAGAAACATAGTTGTAACTGGAATTTGTCAACAAGCAAGTTAAAGAATTGGTCGGAAGTTGTCATTTAAAACAGCCTGCTAATAAAGTTGTTTCAGAGCTGATTTTCATGAAGCCAGGGTGTCTTCTCTGGGGTTGGGAGGTTGGGGACATTTGTGTGTATTCGTCAGCCTTCCTGTTGCTGTGACCCAGTACCTGGCACCCACCGCCCAAAAGAGGAGAGGCTCATGGTTTTGAGGGCTTCAGTCCATGGTCTAAGGCAGGGACAGCATGGTGGAAGGGTGTGGTCAGTTTAAGCTGCTTAATTCATGGTAGCCAGGAAGACGAGCAGGGCAGCAGCACCCTAGAGGATGGGGCCAGGGACCAGACATAGACCCCAAGGCCATGCCCCCGTGACCACCTAGATGTACCCCAAGGTGCCCTCCACCAATCCCTGGGGTGGATCCCAAAGCCAATCAAGTTGCTACCCCATTGTAACCACTGGAACACGCTAGGAAATGAATCCATTTTTGTCACCAGTGCCTGGCAGCCACTGCCTGTTGGTTTGGGCAAGTGCTCCCTCTTGAACAAGGGTGGGTTAGATTTGGGGTGCTCTGGTGAGGTGTCCCCAGTGCTGTGAGTCCTTCCTCAGCCCTCCTGATTTGATCTTCCTGCTTAAAGCCATCTTTGAGTAGCCTCCAGCAAGATTCCTTTCTTCTTTTGGTTGTTTTGAGATGGGATCTCTCTATGTCATGCAGGCTGGTCTTGAACTCACTGTGTACCCCAGACTGGCCTCAAGCTTTCCGAGATCCTCCTGCCTCAGTCTCCAGAGTGCTGGACGGGTGTGTGCCACCACGCCCAGCAAGAGCTAATGGGATCTTTAGGAGGTGACTGGATCCTGAGAGCTCTAACCTCACCGGGTAGATTAGCCTACTGAGAAGTTCATTAGCCTAATGGGCTTAGTAGGAGGCCGGGCCTAACGGGCTGAAGACCTCACTGAGACTGCGATGAGCAGCTTTGATCCAGTGCATTCTTCCTCAGGGCCACAGCAACGGAACCTGCCAGCCATGGCCAACACCGTGACCCAAACAGATCTCTCCTCCTCTAAGCTGATTTCTTCAGGTTGCAGCAGCCAAAAGCTGCCTAACACTCAGAGCACCATGACTCTTAGAATTCAGGAAGACAGCCCAGTTAGAAATGGACACACAGTCAGGAAGGCTGAGGCAGGAGGATCACTTCAAGCCCAGCCTGGGCAACTTTGCCAATGCATCTAAAATAAAAATTGCCTGGGGATGTAGCTCAGTGCCAAGGTCCTGGGTTCGATCCCCAGTCCCACATGGGGATAACCATTCAGGATCCCCTTCTCACTCGGAGACAAAAGTCCCTCTTGCAGCTCATGGAGAGCCAGGGGTCCGCTCACCCAAGACCAGAGGTGCATTTGTAGGAAGTGGAGGAGCTTGTTTTCAGCCCCCTACCTGGCCTGCCAGGGCTGGGCCTCCTGAGAGCAGGGAGACACATCCTGAGGGGTCCGATGCCCAGCGGCCTGCGTGTCCCCGGCCGGGGTTCTGGGTTTGCTTTCCTCCGTAACCAGTGTTCACCGCACTCCTAGCTTTACGTGTTCTCCCTCCCCCACTTCCCTTTACTGGGACAGCGGCTCGCTCTGCCGCCCAGACTGGCGACAGGCACCACCACGCCTGACTTTTTAGTAAAGCCTTCAAGATACAGGCTTCAGCCCCCACGAAACCTGACTCTGGCCCCTGGGGCCCCATGAGCTGCCTGGGCCCCGGCCCACACCTGCCAGGCCTTTGCCTCCTGCTCACCATGGGTGCATGGACTCTGTCCCCAGCCCAAAGCCAGCCCGGCCTGCTCTCCCTGGCATGGCCCTGTCAAGTGCATCATCTCCGCCTTTTGGCTTTTTTTGAGACAGGGTCTTGAGATGTTACCCAGCTTGGTTTTGAACTCTGGGGCTCTAGTGATCCTCCTGCCTCAGGCTCCTAAGCACTGGGACCACAGTCCTCCTATCCCTGACATTCTTTATTTGCTTTCTGTCTGTCCCTAGAAGAGGGGAAGGCCTTGGGGCAGGAAATGTTCGCACTCACTTCCAGAGTCTGAGTGCCCGGTGTACAGCATCCCAACAAAATGTCCCTTAAATGAATGTTCCACACCCCAGTGTTCTGATGGCCCCAGGCCCCAGGGACCTGGGCTGGAGCAGATGGCAGGAAGCAGCTGTGGGGCTCCAGCATGCAGCCAGGTGTGTGTGTGTGTGTGTGTGTGTGTGTGTGTGTGTGTGGCCCCTGCCCTGGTATGGAGCTGGCACGGCCCCTTGTTCTGGGCTCAGTAGTGTTCCCCAGAATGTGTGTCCGACTGGAGCCCAGGAATGTAGCTTTATTTGGAAACAGGGTCATCACAGATGTAATCCACTGAGCAGGAGGCCACACTGGTACAGAGGGGCCCCAAATCCGATGTTTGGTGTCTTTATAAGAGCACAGCTGGGCACAGTGGCACACACCTGTGATCCCAGCACTTTGGGAGGCTGAGGCAGGAAGATCAAGTTTGAGCCCAGCCTGGGCAACTTGGTGACTTAGTGAGACATGCACAGGGAGGAGACAGGACAGGGAGGAGGAGTCAGAGAGCAGTGGCCGCGTCCAAGCCAGGGCATAGCAGGGATGCTGCCGGCAGCCACCACCCGCCGAGAGGCCACCTGGCCTGCACCTTGACTTGGGCCACAGGCCTCCAGCTGTGTGGGAAGGAATTTCTGTGGCTGGAGGCCACCCGAGGGTGTGGCTGACACCCATGTGCCATGGTTTCTGGTGCTCATTGCCAGGCCGATGGCAGAAGTCCTTCCCAGCCCAGGTCTGGCACTGTGGTTGCTGGGCCTGGCCTGGTCCCAACCCAGCCTCAGCCTCAGTTCTGCGTGGGCAGGAGGCCGGGCTTCTCCAGCGCCGAAGCTGCGTCGGACTCTGGGGACACTTTGGGGGTGCAGACCCTCACCAGGCCGCCTCCTGTGAACCCCAGCTCCTCCAGCCCTGTCCTCTTTCTTCCTTCCCCCTTTCTTTTTCTTTCTAGTACTAGGATTGAGCCCAGACTCTTCCCACTGAGCCACATCCCCAGCCCCTTTTCATTTTTGATTTTGAAACAGTCTTGCTAAATTGCCCAGGCTTTGGTCAAACTTACGACCCTCCTGCTTCAGCCTCTTAGAGTGCTGGGCTTGCTGTAGGGCGTCATCCCGCCCAGCCCCCTCTGTGCATTGTTATTGTGAGTCACCCCTGGGAGGCTTTCCCTTGGAATTCAGCCCCGTCTCCACCTGTGCCACCTCTTCCCGTTTGTCCCCATCCACGGGACTGTTCACTGTCACTCCGCAGTTCCTCCTCTGCTCCCTCCCGGCTGAGGACAGGGCTCTCTTGCTCTCTGTTGTTCCCGGGACCTGGAGCCTGGAACAGCACCTAGCAAATTGTTACCACCCCAGTGTTTCTCTGAGGCTGCCGGGGTTTCACCTCCAACTTGGCCTGGCCTGGGCCAGCTTTCTGCATTGCTGCATCTCCATTTCCTCCCCCAAGAGACTGAGCACCGGCAGCAGGCTTGGTGGCACATGCCTGTGGTCTCAGTACCAGGGAGGCTAAGGCAGGAGGATCACTGTGAGTTTGAGGCCTGGGGTACTTAGAGACCTTATCTTAGGACAACAATGCGTGTGGGACACGGGACCTCACGTACCGCCCTGAGGGCAGAGGGCCATGTTGGGAGTGGACAAAGGTAACCAGGGCAGTGCAGTGCCCCGCCCTGTCCTTGCGTGGCCGCGGCTGCCATCCGGATCTCACCAGGCCGGGCTGATGGAAGTAGGGGAAAGGTGAGGAAGAGGCGACCTGAGCAGGGCCTGGCCACGCCGTGGACCTTTCCCCTGCTCCCAAAGGCTGCACAGCCTGGTGTGGCAGTTGCAGGTGGCTGCAGAGGGCGCCCAGGGCAGGGTGGGAGGCCCACGGGGGTAAACTCAGGCTGGAGAGGCCCGGGCGTGCCCCAGGTCCCCGGTCCCAGGGTCACCAAGCCCCCGACCACGTGTGCCGACGGCCCCGGGGTTCATGTCCACCGCTCCGCGGCCATAGACTCAGCGACTCAGGGCCACGCTGACCCTGTCTCCTCCGGTGCTGGGAGTCAGGAGGCTAAAACCAGTTCCCCAGCAGGCAGCAGGGTGCCAGAGCGAGCGAACCCTTCGGAGCCCCTGGGAGAATCCGGTCCACCTCTTCAGCCACATCGCGAGGCTTCGCGGCTGTGACCTGCTTCCTGCCCATCCAGCTGTTGCGCATGCGCAGTGCCACCTGCCCGCTCCGGAGCCGAGCTGCCTCGGCCTCCCTAAGGACGCTGGACCACGCCTGGGGATCTCCCATCTCACACCTGACTTTCCCTCCACCGCGGAAGCGGTAGCATTCAAAGGTGACAGGGATCAAGACCTGGATGGGGGCCACTATTTAGCCTGCCGTGGCCCACCACTGGCACTGTTCCCGTCAAAGCCTCCCACCCATCAAAACTCTGCCTGTCTTTGTTTTGGTTTTTTGAGACAGGGTCTCACTACGTAGTTCAGACTGGCCTTGAACTCACAGTGTAGCCCAGTCTGGCCTCCATTGCGGTGATCCTGCCTCAGCCTCCCGAATGCTGGACTTACAGACGTGTGCGCATGCTCGGCCCATCGCGCTGGGTAAGGTAGGCGACAGTCACATTTCGGAGTGTGGAGTGTGCTCCTCACTAGCACTGCGTCATTAGCATCATTAGCACTGACGAGGAAGCGTTACCCCTGACTCCACACTCTAGGGCTGGGGCAGCTCCACAGTGGGGCTTGCACAAGGCCCTGGTTTGGTCCCCAGAACAGGAGAAAAGACCATAAACTGAAGCCAGGAGATCTGGATTCAAATCCTGCCCCCAGCACTTACAAACTCTGCCTCACCAGGTGAGTTACTAACCTTTCTGATGCCTGTTTTCTAAATGGGAAAGTGGGTGCCAACCTTATAGGAATGTTGTTGGGACGAATGAGGTCATATCTGTGAAGTGTCCTGAACAGCTACTGCCACAAAATGGGCCCTGTATGTACACTTATCATACAGTCAATGTGTTACCGTGTCTGTGTGCCCTCTTATGT